TGGTGGCTCTTTCCGAAACCTAGGTATTTCCTGCTTTACCCCCTGGTAAACATTACCATCGATCTCCACTAATAAACAAACGTTGTTTTTATAAAAACAACAATAAACGGATTAAGCCTAACCATTTTGCAACAACAATTCATGAAATCTTTTTTTTTAATTGACTGAATGGTACATATAATTTAATGTTTGTAGATTATTTCATCCAAATGTTGACCGCGATCTGGTTCACAATAGTCGACTTGCATAGTCCAATTTTTGAACGCTCTTTTGAACATTTTTAATAAGAATAAATGCTTCAATATTGTTTTCCAATGCGTCAATATAAGCGGGCTCGTTTGTATTGGCAAGAGCTTAAATATAGCCTCGATCTAGGCAGTTAATTGACATGTCCCGAACGTGGAAAAAAATGTTCAAAGAAACCGCATATGGCACCGTCTTCTTGAAACCACATATCATGCAAGTCAAGCTCTTTTTCATTTCACAGCCACGCTACGAGTATTGCAACATCCCTGAAAAAGTACGATACGATGATGCCACAAGCCCAAAAATCGGCCTAAACTGTGACTTTCGCAATGTTTCCGTCCAATCTTCACTCCAAAATCGACTATTCTGTTATTTTAAGTACCCATTGAGCAGCTGAACACAACTTTGAGCTTTTCAAACGGAACAGTCATTTTGATATATAAATGTAATGATTTGAAGCGTTGTTCGTTTGTAAGACGATTCATGGTAGAATTATAGGCTAAACTAAATGTGGTGCCCATTGGAATTGCAATTTTCAAAAAAGGAAGGTTGTGTTGAATAATGCCAGGTTTGTGCTCAATTGCGCCGAATATTTTTATTTCAAAATGGGAAAATCAGGCTGAGGTATTCAATTTTTTTCTTAAAATCGGCGGGAATTGCAGCTTTCGAAATTTCGAAAAAAAAAAATAAAATAAAAATGTTCTAAATAGTACTAGGTTTGTGCTCATAAGTGCAATATCCGAAAAAAAACATACTTTCGAAGTATGCCAGAATTTCGACAAAAACAAAAATTGTGCTGAGTTGTGCTCGATTTGTGCCGTTTATTATACCATCAGACATATGGCTATTTGGAGACGATCTAGCGATATCCCACCGTCCGTTTGTCTGCCTGGTTGGTGCGCATGATAACTCTCGAAAGGATTATACAATTTGGACCAACCTCGGTACATCATAATATTATTATCAAACTTAGATCGAGTGCGGAGATAAGCAATATCAGTCCACTCCTTCTGGTAACTCCCCTACAAAGGGTAGAACTTTTCAAAAAAATATTTTACTACACAGAAAGAGAAAGGATAATTTGATTTTGCTCCAACTTTACAAATCCTAATATTTGCATCACTGCTAAGTCAAGTGTGGAAATGAACTATGTTGGTCCACTCCATCAACTACCTACCCCACCCAGGGTCAAAATTTTGAACAATTATATCGTTCATAAAATATGATATTAGTCGGATTGCCTTCAAATTGCATACATTACAATACTATTCTTAATCCAAGTTCTGGTGTGAATAAAATATATCCCATATCCGTTTACCCCCTTTGGTACCTCCCCCTCAAAGGATCAAAATTTTGAATATTCATAAAGCTCATAAAACCCGAAATTAATATTCGATTTCATTCAGACTTGGTACATCTCAATATTTCCATCAACACAATATCTGTTATAAGGATGGTAGAGATCGGATCATTTCTTCTGGTACCTCCCTGCTTTATCTAAATATTTCTCTCAACCAGAAATCTGAGATGAACATGAAATTTATGATTTTGCATAAAATTGGATATAAATGTTCGTTTTTTCTTGTAATTTTACCCATACCAATATTTTAATCTGTATTAGACGAAGTATGAAAATGGAATACTTTGGTCGACTATATCCGGAATTTCCCGCACATTCTAACATTTTCTAAAAATTATCACATATGAAGAGAGTAATCAATATAGTCCAAACCATGGCACATCGCACCGACAATGTTGGCCCATTCCCTCGGAACCTACTCCATAGAGGGTCAAAAAATCATAACAAAAGTCAACATATATTTAAGTAATCGAACTTTGGCTGAGCGTAAACATCTGTCGACTGAACTGATACGAAATTTCCAAATCTCAAACTAGGTTAGAGAGATTGAAAAAAAATTAACCGCACAAATCGAGTAACCGCACAAACTCAGCACAATTTTTTTTTATTTTTATTTATTTATTTATTTTTTTTTTTTTTTTGAATTTCCATTCTGGCATAGTAAGGAGTATATCGAAAAAATACAATTCAGCACAATTTTATTTTTTGCAAAATTTAAAAGTTGTAATTTTCTTAGATTTTTTCGATAAAAAAAAAACATTTTTCGAATATATTAGCCAGTTTTTCAAATTTCGAAAGAAAAACATCGGCAAAATTGGAACAACTTTCCTCTTTTCAAAATTACAAAACTGTAATCCCAACGAACACCATATCCAAACTGACGATGGTTTACAGTGAAACAAAACAATAAACGTTCGAGACATTCTTAAACCAATGTTGCCAAAAATATAACAGCTAAATATCCCTCTTTTATATAACACAATAAAGGTCAGATACCATTTTTCAAAAAATCCAACCACTCAAATGATTAATGTACAGAATTAACAATTCCTGGAATATAATTTCTTACCTCTTTTTTTACAGATCAAAATAAAAAACAAAACTTCATCCAACACACAAGTATCTAAAATAGACAACGAAGGCTAACTGAAAAAGAAACTAAATCAACTTAAATCACTTGAATAATTAATTTTATTCCTTAGCTGAATAGCTACAATGAATCCAAAAACAAAACTCCAACGCTCTCAACTAAATGGTGCGTATCCTGCGAGACCATTATGAAATCGTACAAAATTAAACACAAAAGTGTTATCTTCTACAATTTTATGTGTCTGTGTGTGTGTGTCCGTGGGAGTAAAAACGTAACAAAAAAACATTGTGCAAACTACAAAATTGTAGTGGTCGCGGGAATAGACATTTGGATGGTTGTTACACAACCAGAACATTAACACAAACACTTTTGTAAAGAGATTAAAAGTGGATTTTTTCAAATGTTTTATTTTTTTTCGCTGTCAAGCTGTTGGTAATGTAGCGAACATACTCACGGAAATGAAGAAGAGAAAAATACACACACTTTAATTGCCTTTGTTTTAAATTAAACAGATGATTAAATTGTGCAGAGGGCCAGAAGTGGGGTGTCTGAACAAATGTAGATAAATGTTATTTATTGGTTTTTTATACCCTCAGCCATATGGCTACAGAGGGTATATATCATTTGATACGGTCAACAAGTGCCTAGTCGAAATAGCGGTTTTAGACCCTAGATCTCTTTGGACCAAATCCGTTTCAGAACATTTGGAGTCGATCTACCGATGTCCGTCTGTCCGTTGGTATGTCTGAGTGGCTGGTGCGCACGATAAATCTCGAAGGGAGTTTCCGATTTGATCCAAACTTGATACATTGTAATATTATTTACAAACTTAGATCGAGTTCGGAGATGGGCAATATCGGTCCACTCCTTCTGGTACCTCCCACACAAAATGTCAAAATTTTCAAAGAAAATAATTTATTGCACAGAAAGAGAAACGATTACTCGATTTTGCTCTAACTTTATTCTAATATTCTAATATTTGCGTCCGTGCTAGGTTAGGTGCTAAAATGGACAGTACCGGTCCACTCCATCAAGTACCTCACCCACAAAAATTCAACATTTTGAATAATTATAACTCTTATAAAATGTCAAGTAAGGATCTGAACGTCTTCAAATTTCACACATTCCAATATTTTTATAAGCCCAACATCTGTTGTTAACATGGAATGTATTGGTCCACTCCTTCTGGTACCTCCCCCACAAAGTGTCGACATTTTGAATACCCATGGAGCTCATAAATCGCCAAATTAAGATCCGATTCCATTTAGACTTGGCACATCTCAATATTTCTATCAACACAAGATCTGTTTTAAAGGTGTTATAGATCGAACCATTTCTTCCGGTACCTCCCCCATACACAGGGTTCAAGATTTTGAAAAACAAAATACTCAAAAAAAGCGAAATAAGCATCCTAGCCTCTTCAAATTTCACACACACAAATATTTTTGCAAACACAAGATCTGTTGTGAAGTTGATATATATCTGCGAACCCCTTCTGGTACCTTACCCACCAAGAGTCACAATTCAATAATTTTATCTGTCATAACTTTCGAAACAATTTAGCAATTCTTTACTACTTGCTATGCTCAAATATTTCTCTCAATAAGAAGCCTGATATGAATATGAAATTTATCCGAATTTAAGATTTCGCATAAAATTGAACATAAATATTCTTTCTTGTAATTTTGCCCAATATTCGCTCAATATTTTTTATTTGTATCAGATGAACTATAAAAGTGGCATATTTCGGTAGACTCTATCTGGTACATCACGCACATTTTAACATTTTCTAAAAATTATTACACATCTCATATAAATTGAAGGAGTGAGTCGATATAATCCATAGCAGGAACGTTGGAATATTTATATCATATTTTTGGGTCTGATACGAATTGAACAATATTGGCCCATTCCTTCGGAACCGGCTCCATAGAGGGTCAAACGTTTGAATAATTGTAACACTAGTCAAATATATTTCGATTATTTAATCGAACATAGGCTGAGGGTATATATCTGTCGGCAATACCGACTGATACTTTTTAACTTGTTTTATAATAAAATTACTCGTTGTAAAATATGGAGAAAGATAAAAAAATTGATTTTGAAAGAGTGTTTGGAGTGTTGTGTACGTGTGTCAGCTCATGGAAATTTATTTGAGATATATAGAAAGGAAATGTATCCATATCAATGAAGGTATATAAATACAAGTTGTCAGGAAATCATTTATTGATTTTCACACTGAAAATTGTTTTTAATATTTTTTTTTATTTTCCGAAATTTTCATAAAGATATTAAAGAACTTACGTGTATCTAATCGACTGATGTCCAACACCTACAACAAAAGAAGATAATTTTTTTTGAATAGTAATAAAATAAAGTTTTATAAAAGAATATGTAAATTTGTATTTATAAATTAGTATTAGGTATTTAAAATTATTACAATATCAAAATAAATACCAATTTCTTAATGTGTGGGACTAAATCTGCCTTCAAAGACCGCTATTCCAAAGATGTAAAGTCTGTTAGTAAAAAAGTGAGATTAAAATCAGTAAAGAAAGTCCGGGCGGGGCCGACTTTATGATACCCTACACCACTTTGCTAATTTAGTAGAGCTCCGCAAAACATTTAAAAGTTTTTATGGGAGAATTCAATCATACACGCCATGATTATAATTATAATTTAAAGTTCAAAGGACTAAAAATGCCGAAGCATTTGAATCTTTTAAATTCGGACTTGTATTGCCCATTTGGTGCACAATTAATTTTAAATCGGATAAAGATATATATGGTAGCTACATCCAAATCGGAACAGATCTCGATAAAACTTGGCAAGTGTATTTCTGAGCTGTATTTGATATATTTCCCCGAATATCGTTGTTACGGAGTGCATATTACGGCTGTGGGTAACAAATATAACAAATCGGATGAACAGTATATATGGGAGCTGTACCTATATCTAAACCGATCTTCACCAAATTTGACATACTAGCTTCTAGACTCAATTCGGTCGTAAGTGCCAAATTTCATCCAATTTGGGGAAATATTAGACGTTTGGTGCACGATAAAAGGTAAATCGGACGAAGATATATATGGGAGCTGCATCTAAATTTTGACCGATTATCTCCAAAAGGGTTCGTCCTTGGTCCAAACAAATGATTTGTGCAAAATTTCATCTGGATAGGGAAATAAATGCGAACTGTACTTTGTTTACAAAAACACACGGACAGACGGACGGACGGACATGCATAAATCGACTCAGAATGTGATTCTATGCAGATCATCAAAAGGAACTATCGGTCTATCTCATTTCCTTTTGCCTGTTACAAACAAATGCACAAAGACATAATACCCTGACCACCTTGTGGTGTAGGGTATAATGAAAGAGGCTGTTGGAGGAGTGAAATATAAACGAAAATCGACTTCGCTTGAAATAAATTTGCTGAAGCTATGCAATATTAATCCACAGAAAGGGGATGTCTAACCTCCCGATGAAACGATGGAACTGCTGATCTGAGATTTTATTATTATTTGCAAATTTATATCTCTAAAAATAAGATGTGCAGAAGATCATGTACATATATATACAGGGTGAGATAAAAATTGCAACTAAGTCAAACGTTGTAATTTATACATTTTTTTTATTTTTATTCAATGAAATCATGTCGGAAACATGTCGGAAATAGCATCAAATTTTAGAATAAGTTTAGATTTGTTCGAATTGGTAACCTTTGCCACGAATTATGTTCTGCAAAAGGGGAATGAAATCGTCACACGCTACCCAAATGTTGCTCTGAGGTATTTTGGCCTATTCCCGGCGAAGCGCTTGCTTGCGGTAATCGACATTTTGGTATTTTTTAGTACCAACCTCGATTTCCAAAATACTCCAGACACAATAGTCCATCGGATTGGTATCCGGAGATTTTGATAGCCATTGTGCGCTGGAAATGAAGCGGGGAGCCTCGTTTTGTAACCATTCTTGGGTGGCGCGTGCTGAATGCGATGGCGCTGAGTCCTATTGGAATGTCCAAGGCCTGCGGCCAAAATGTTTGCGTGCCCCAGGCTTTAATACACCCTCCATAATATTTTCGCAATAATATTCGGCATTTATTCTGATGCCACGGTCGATTATTGCGAGCTGAGAGCGACTACCGGCTGTTATGGCGGCCCACACTATCACCATGGCTGGCGCTTCAGTTCTGGTGGCCAACCGAAGGTGCACATTTTCAGCTGACCTCTTTGGCAAGTAAACACGGTCATTTTGTTTGTTTACAAATTGCTGGACAATGAATGTTTTCTCATCGGAGAAAACCAAATTCGGCAGTTCACCACTTTCGGCCAAACGAAGCAACTCTTTAGCTTTTTTGAGTCTATTTTCTTGCTGTTGCGGTGTAAGTTCTTGCACTTTTTGAAATTTCAATGGCATTACCCCGAACTCATTTTTCAATATTTGCCGAATGACATATTGCGATGTGTTCGACTTGCGAGCCATTTTTCGGCCACTGCGATCAAGTCGCTTCTTTATTTTTGGAACCATTTCTGCTGAAGTTGTTGTTTTCTTCAGTCCACTTCCTTGACGTCGGGCTACGCTACCAGTATCACGGTAAAGAGCGATGATACGAAACACAAAAGATTTATTCACATTTAAATGCTGGAGTGCTCTAACGATAGCCAGTTATGGTTTTCGAGGCAAATATAGAGAAATCACACTTGATTTCCCACACGAATTCATTTTTTGTTCTGGAAAATTCTCACCAAAATGCTTTTGTACGCTTGCAAACAATATAATGAGCTGTCACTGGAATAATTTTAAAAGCTATTGGAGGAGTGGCCTAGAAATCACAGCAGTCTGAAAATGGTTATCTCATCCTCTATTACCTGCCTATCATAAAGTGTTCTCTATTAGGCACTAAATAATTTGCTGCCATGCAGAACTAGCCTGTTCTGCTAGTAAGTAATAAAACTATTTTTATATAGTTTTTTTTAATAGAAAATTTCGAAAAGTTCTTACACAAATATCTTTTCATTATTTCCTATTTCATAATTTCGCCTATCTATTATTACTGATAAAATATAATGGAATAATGTAGCTAATTAACATGGTAAAGGGTGACACAATTGGATGTGACAGATGGTTGCATATAAAAGTGATATTAATTAAAGAGACTTGAAAACACGAAAAATCTCTAAAAAAAGTAATGAAGTTAATATTTGTATAGGGTCATGGTTTTTAATCGCTTTAAATAATAAAACAATATTTTTAAAGGAATAACATGGTATTTGGAGTTTTGGATCCTGATCCAATTTTTCCTACATAGAACCATTTTTTCGAATAGTTCTTATATATCAGCATTGTTATGATTTGATCTGAATTAAAGAAAAAATATGTACCGCTCGAATAATGGAATCCAGCACTGATATGCCTATTTCCAAATATCTTATATTCCAAAGGGTAGAGGGTATAAAAAGTTCGATCCGGGCGAACTTGTTGAAGAGTAACCAGTAAAGAAAGTCTTAAAGTCGGGCGGGGCCGACTTTATGATACCCTACACCACTTTGCCAATTTAAATGAGCTCCACATAACAATTAAAAGTTTTTATGGGAGAATTCAATCATACGCGCTATGATTATAAGTATAACTTAAAGCTCAAAAGGCTAAATATTCCGAAGCATTTGTATCTTTTAAATTCGGACTTTTATTGCCCGTTTGGTGAAAAATTAATTTTAAATCAGATAAAGATATATATGGGAGCTATATCCAAATCTGAACCGATGTAGATAAATTTTGGCAAAGCTGTACTTGATATATTTCCCTGAATATCGTTGTTACGGAGTGAGTGCATATTACGGCTGTGGGTAACAAATACAACAAATCGGATGAACAATATATATGGGAGCTATAGCTATATCTGAACCGATTTCGATCAAATTTGGCATACTTATTTTCAGGCCTAATTTAGGTGTATATGCAAAATTCCACACAATTCGGGCTGATATTACACGTTTGGTGCACAATAAAAGGCAAATCGGACAAAGATATATATGGGAGCTATATCTAAATTTTGACCGATTATCTCCAATTTCATTTGTGCACAATTTCATCTGTATCGGGCAATAAATGCGACCTGTACTTTGTTTACAAATATACATGGACAGACGGACGGACATCCATAAATCGACTCAGAATGTGATTCTATGCAGATCATCAAACGGAACTATGGGTCTATCTCGTTTCCATTTGCCTGTTACAAACAAATGCACAAAGACATAATACCCTGACCACCTTGTGGTGTAGGGTATAAAAATTAAAATTTGGAAATATTGTTGTAAATAATAGTCTAGCAAGTGTCCGCTACTTTGTCAGCGAAAATCCAACTTACATTTTTAGATTCCATCCAAAAGTTCCTGTTAAGTCCTTTACGTACTCAAAAAAAAAATTAAAACTTCATACATCGTACTCAATTTTCAGACTCTCATTTTCGAGTTTTTTTAACCTAACCTGTTACACCCAAAAGACTTCGAAATCTTTCATTTTGAATTTTACTGAGGAGGATATTATAACCATTGGACAATGGACCCATAACCAATTTTTCTGTCAAAAACTATTTTAACATCAGAGTTGAGAATTCTGGCTCATTCTGTTGGTCCAATACAAAGTATTCAAATTTTAGTACAATTTAGTACTTGTCGTATTTTTTCGTAAGAACTTTCAAAAATCCAGCCTTATCACACGCTTACGCACTCTGACAGACTCTCGTGCAAAGTTACTTGATTCTAATTTTAACCGAGATTCTAACTTGTCTGTCACTGACAGACTAATATAGAGGGAGTCACAATCAACTCAGTTGCAACAATACAGGGTTGCCCAAATTCGACGGACCCATCTGGCAACGCCATAACTTTTGACAGAGATGTCACATCGCTTAATGACATACCGTGTTTGAAGCGTCAGTCCAAGCAGATTTTTATCACGAACCAATACACGCCACGCGAGCCCTCTGAAATAGTTGAAATTTACATTCAACAGAAGAAGTCAATTGTGAAAACTCAACGTGCTTTTAAAAGATTAAAAAATGTGAGAAGTGCGCATTCTAAGAACACCATTAAGCGTTTATACGAAAAATTTTCGACTGGTAAGGCTCTTTCTAATCCAAAGAGGTCATATAAAAGTCGACCAAGGCGATCGACCGAGAATATCGCTGCCGTACGAGCCAGTGTTGAGAGGTCCCCAAGAACATCCCAAAAACGCCGTTCTCAGCAGTTGGGCATGCCTCGGTCCACTTTACAATGGATTATTCGCATTGATTTGCATTTTTTCCCGTTCAAAATTCAATTG